CGAATTGGTCTGATCGTTCTATAAAGTGATGTACAGACCTATTCATATTAAGCTTCTTCTTCTTCAGTTTGGAAAGTAATCAATTTTCAAGATCGTCTACCCTACAGTAAGTTCTGGCGCAAAAAACCTTGAGGCGATGTCAGACTTTGCGAATCGAGCGATGCGCATCAACTGGTCGCTAGCGTCCGCGGTCGCGTCGCAGTTGGCAAATCGCTCGATTCGCAGTCTGACATCGCCTAATAGGGTTGAAAAGCTCGAGGTAATATATTTGCCAGTGATTTCATTATTGTACCAGTGTAATCAGTTGCATTATTTCTCCAAGCAAATTACGCATTTAGCAATTTGGCAAATATTATGTAGATCTAAGTAGCGGGCGGTACGAGACGCGCGCGGTCGCGACGCGGCAACCATACCGTATTAGCCCACTAGTCTGACGCGCTGTGACGGGGCGCGTCGCTTCGCTCTTTGTAGTTTATGGAGTTTGACCATGTTAGAACGCCTGATTTTCCAGGGTTACGCTCGATGCCTGTGTGGAAAGTCATCGAGTGAAATGGATGATTTTCTCGCAGAGAAAACAGAAGCCGGCAGAACAACGAGAGCCTTTAGCCTAGGTGAGATGTGAAATAGATAAATGAGAATATTGATAATAAAAACAAAGCAAATACTAACCAGTCCTTTCATTTGTTTTTTTTAATCAAAAAAATTTGCGCTAGTACATAGTTGTTTTCTCATTCGCCTTGCAAGGTAGCGGCATTGCGTGCGGTTGCGTTGCGTCCATAGCGATTTGCAGAGAATGACTGTGATCACACGTGAATATGTAGCCTCTAACGAAGACAGTCAATAAAATTTATCAGAAGCACTTGGAGAAATTTGAACAAGATTGAGTAACGAGGCTGGGAACCGCGACGTGACCGCACGCGTCTGTGTACTGGTATCTCACATTAGTGATTCTAGATGACGAAGAACTCGTGTATGGTGAGGACGATTACTATCCGGAAAGCACCACTGGCACGAGTGTTATGGAGGAATGCAAATCGGAAAGGTATTCAATTTTAAAGGCCCCGGTGACAAAAATTACTGTAATTAACATATCGTTCCAAACTTCACCCGTCCTTGACTTTTTTTGGAAGTGGTCCAAGTCTGTGCAGACGAGCTAATCAAGGAAGGCCTGTTTTATCCTCAACTTTGTGGCGAATGTGGAGCAGAAGTTGTTAGTTTGATTATCGATTTTATCGATTTCCCTTCAGAACAAAGTTGGACGAGCCGACTGGCTACGAAGATCCATTGTATCTGCGCGTTCGACCGTAATACTAACGATGCTTGGCCGTGTTTTCTGAAGGACGCCTGGGAGTCGACTGAATGCGACACCTGCAATGAGCACGCTTTCTGCACGAAGGACAACGCAACATGTGAGGACCACTTTCCTCCTAAAATAAATGAAAAAAAATAATTAAGAGTCATCTCTTTTAATAACTGAATATCACACTCCCCATCATTTTTTGTGATATTCTCTTATAAACATCCAAGTTTGAGCGGAGTTCACATAGGTTCGTCCAAAAACATAGCCGTGTCATACTCCACTACTTGTTGCTCGTAAAAGCGCTTTGTAGCACTCATCCTACGTTCAATGGTACCCTTGCAGACTGACGTTGAAATCC